ACGTCTGCCACAAAAATCTTGCTTTTTGGTTGCAGGCTTAACTAATTAATGGAGCCCAATTTAATAATCTCCTTTACGGCACTTAAAGTATTAACAGATTTAAGCATAAATCCACAGAAATTTTCCAAGTACGAGGCTACGGCACAAGTCTTTGGTTGGTCACGGGGGGATGCTGGTTTGTTGATTTTCCACAAAACCCCCTCTGGAGCGTTTTTAACACACACACACACACACACACACACACACACACTCAAAAGGGAAAATTATCGTTTGTTTTCTTTTTCCTGCACCAATCGTGACATTGTGCAGACCTCAGAGACATTTAATAATGTGTTCTTGTGGGATTTTCAATATGAATAAAATGTCTGTTTTAAATTTTTCACCCTGACCCAATATTTCCAACGACACAAACACACGAACAGGGAGAGAAAGAAAAAAGCCCAAAGCGAGACACTTGTTTACCAAAATCTTTGCTGTTTGAAATGCAGGTGCGGGTGTATTTTTGTTCTGCTTTGTTGCGGTGAGCCATTGTCGGTCCTAAATTGTGTATAAAAGCCGCCGGTGTCCTGTTAGATAACGTCGAGCTGCCTCCAAGTACAGTAGAGGATCGAATCAGCGTTCAACAGTCCTTATCGCAGAGAGAACAGTTTAAAATCTCATGTTCATCTAATAATTAATTACTTTCAAATGAAGGCTCTGAAGCAAATAAAACATGAAATCACAGGATGACAAAAGTCCAATTTAACTTCTCATTTCATCTTAACACAGCAAAGTTTGAGCGCCTTGTAGGAAACAAAAAATAAGGTGTAATATGGGTTTAGAAGCGTTAAAATAACTGTTTTTATATGAAGAAAGTCTAGATACATGAACCTAGTGAGGACTTACAGGTAAAACTAATGTTAGTTTCTAAAGAAAGTACGGCGGCTTTGTGATTAAATTTATGTTATTGTACTTTGTTTTCCTCATTTTTGGGTTTTGCATTGAATTTATTGAACTTTTCCTTCATGAATTGTTGGAGAATTTAAACACAGTTTTGGTGATATTAGATTCAAAACTATTTCCTGCTTTTATCCAGCGTAAATGTGTGAAGCAGCACCACAAATTAATGCTAAACTGGGCCTTTTCTTTAACACGGTCATCAGAGAATGCAGTTCTGTGCTAATTACTTCAAAAAGTTCTCTGCCTCGCCTGGAAACAATGACCGTA